GCAGAGAGAGCGAATGGTGTGACAAGATGGTGTGGACGCTGAGTTTGAAGAGTTGCACCTGACCAAGTGTGCATTGGCCCCTCTCACAAAAGAGAGTTTTAGCGCTAGGTGTTAGAAGATATCCTTAAAATTTATTGATCACGTGACTAATGCCTTTATACGGTCGTAATGAATAACGTTCAGAAGTTTTAGCAATTGCGACATTGCGTTATGCAATATAACAAAGGAAGCATTTCTAGCGTTGAACAGAGAAATTACATAATATATCAAAGAGAGTAGGCTAGTAGTGACACATTTAAAACACTTTACGAGTCAACAGAAGATCAAATATACATTGTGCGTAGAGTTTTAGATTTTGTGACCCTCCGTGATGAGTACGCAGTCTGGAATTTTGAATCGGATTTTCTTGAAAATTTAGGAAAAATCTTAAAATAGCGTTACTTATGAGCATAAGACATACCATATCCCGAAGATATCATTAGACCTTCTATATCACTAATTTATTTTTTGACACCTCTCCAACATATCCCGTTAATTCTCGTCAGCGTTGTGGAGTTGGAAAGGAATCACACACTGCCTCACGTACGAGAATCAGTTTATCAGAGTTGGAAAAATTCAAGTCTTCCTGTTTTTAAACGGCCTTTTGCCGCTTGTAACGTGTCAGTAGAGACTTTCACAAGCGTGCACTATTTGTAAGGTCGTACCTTAGGCCTAAGGTAAGACGTTATGACTTCAAGGTCCGTCACACGTGACTTGTTATGCATAACGTCTCTACCCTACGCGTGGCGCTTAAACTCCTATTAGACCCGGGTCTGTTGGTTAAATAGACACTGGATTGAATATTAATTTTAATGCAACATTATGATAAATAAGTAATTAAACATGGGCAGCGTCGAGTAACCAGCTTATCCTTCGCAAGTAGTACACAGATAAGTGACTGACATACCGCCCACTCCCCGCGGACTAAACGCTCAACTTCTGATATCGTGTAATGATTCGGTTTTATTATTTTTTTTAAAATTATTAAGTTTTGTGAAAAATACCACTTACTTTCTCTAAATTTAGATTTCTGTTTTTTTGCATTTTGTAGATCAGTGAAAATATGTCTATTTCAAAAGTAGAGTATCAATACTTACGTTCTGGCACAAACATGCATGACACACAAGCTATTCCTCCTAGGAGCATTGTGAGGCAAAGAACCCATCGCCTTCCCCAACGATCCATTGCATACCATGTAATAATATAACTTGGGATTTCAACAGCTCCTCCTAGGTAAGAGAATAATTTTTCAAGAATCTAAATTCCGTAAAGTTACAATTGGAAGAGAATAAATTTAGTTCAACAACATTAAAAAACAGTAATTTAATTACAAATAAAAATGATTCTTAAAGTTTTAAAACTATTCATAATCGTGTTAGTAAATTTCACTATTAAGGATTCTTGTCTCTTCGTCCTGTTTCGATTTCTATCTCATTTTGCGTTTAGGAAGCTTCTACATTTAACATTTTAAAAATAAAAACGCACTAAGAATGTTCATTTTTTGAAATTACTTGTCCACAATAAAATGCAAAGAAAATAGATTTTTTAAATGTAAATTAACACATGACATTCTCAGAAATAACATTTGTGTTCTACTTAAAAATATAAAAGTTGATAATTCACAAACCTATGAAAAATGCTAGATAGTCACTAACACCAAGATTTGTAGTGTTGTAGGAGAGACCATTATAGACTACCGCATTTGCAATCCAGTCAAATGCCAGAATGAAGAACTTTTTTCTAATATTTGGGTGACGTAAAATATCCATGGGAGTTGCTGAAATGTTTTTGTCTGAGCGATGATCTCCATTAATCATTTTTTTCTTGCTCTCTACCTGAAATTTTTTAAGGCAAAGAAACGTTTTTATTATAATAAATAATCACATTTTATCAGCAAAAAATATCACTACTAAATGTTCACGTCAGACATTGATATGAAAGTGTTGTAGTTAAATCATGCAATTTCATGTTTAAAACTTTCTTTGTCGAGTTGTACATAATTATATCTTCTTATAGAGTGTAATACAAATACTCGTAAAATTTACTTACCTCCATTGTTCTTAGGAAATTTTTAGGTATCTTTTTTCCATTTACTCTGGCCATTGTTTGTACTATTTCTTCTGCTTCATCAATTCGGTTTTTACTTAGTAACCAGCGAGGAGACTCAGGAATAATCCAATAATAGCTATAATAATTGAATTATTATTCACATAATAAAGTAATTGTTGCTGTTACTATTAATGAACCAGAATAAAAATAAGTTTATTATTACATATTTTTGGAAACTTTTGTTTTTGTACAATTTATCAATTATAGTGACTTTTTAATGAAAATTTAAGCATTTCAAATAACCAAGAATTTTATTTTTACATAACATACCTAAATAGAAGTACAAAGGGAACAGACGTGGCCAGAGAAAGTGTGAACCAATTCCGAAGTAGATACCCTAGTAAAGCTAGAAGAGACATTCCCAAGGCGAAGAACATACAAATTACCATACCAGCAAATGTTCTGTATCTAGGTCCCATCAATTCCAGCGCTGAGAAAATAAAAATAATCTTCTATAGACGCATATTACGGGGCATGTTATTCTACAATACGTCTTTCTTTGTGCATTCTCATTTATTAATATATATTTACCCAATATAAATGGTATTTGATATATTGCTGGGAAGAACAGACCATTTATAGTTCTGAACACAGTGTAGACGACATAATTTGGCGAAAAAGCTGTCATAATCGACAATGGAACTTCGATAAAGATCATTAAGAAGAAGGAGAATCGCCTCCCCCACCTGCAAAAGTGAAAGAAGTTCGTCAATATCCAGTCAAAAATTGAAATTTATCTTTCCACACAATACAAAAAATGTAAGGATCTACATACTTATCGGCTATCCATCCGAATAGAACATTTCCAAACAGAGAACCAACGTAAAAAAATGTTGTTGATGTTGACGGCCACCACCCATCATCACAGACTAGGTTGAACTGCAAAGAAAAGGGAGCCATAAGCCACCAAAATAAATATTTTAATATTTATATTTTTTGATCATAGTCGTACATTCTCAGGGTTTCTAAGAGGCAATATTCCTTTTAATTTACAGACGATCACGCGACATTTTCGTTTTTGCAAAAACATCCACATAAATATATACGCGGAGAAATGTGGGCTAGGAGGAGGATTTCATTCACTGAAAAGAGGGTGCGAAGATTTTGCTTTTACACGAAGAAAATCATACAATTATCTAAGCTTGTACCGCCGGCAATTTTGTTTTGAATGAACTGTGAACTTAACCTTCTTGGCCACCCCTTTTTGTCCCCTCTCACACGCACCACACCTTTATCTCTTCCACCCTCCGCCTCATCCCTCCCACTCTTTCTCAGTCTGATTCTCATCATAATTTCCCTCCTATTCAGTTTCGTTCCATTTTTGTCTTAAAAAATCCTTATTGTGATTCTGTATTTTGGAAAAAATGTACGACTTTGTAATTAAGTGTGTATATTTATGGTCATGTATATATGCATGTATATGTGCGACACGTATAGTGTGTTTGAAGTGTATATGTGGATGCATGTATATACATGAACTTCAGTAAATGGGTGTATACATGAATGTAGGTACGTGGGCACCTGATTAATCAAATGGATGCAAAATCTTTTTTTATGACGAGTACGAACTGTATCTATTGCGTAATGATTACGAACTGTATCTATTGCGTAAAGAGTACGAACTGTACAAGAGAGAGGATAACTTTTTTGCTAAATTTTGGGTGACGTAAAAATATCCTGGGAGTTGGCTGAAATGTTTTTGTTGACCGATGATCTTCCATTAATTCATTTTTTTCTGCCTCTCTACCTGAAAATTTTTTTTAAGCAAAAAACGTTTTTATTATAAAATAATCAACAATTTTTATCAGCAAAAAATATCACTATAAACATCGTTTCACGTCAGACATTGATATGAAAGGTGTTGTAGTTTAAATCATGCAATTTTCATGTTTAACAACTTTCTTTTGTCGAGTTTGTAACATAATTAAATTTTTCTATAGAGTTGGTAATACAAATACCGTAAAATTTACTTACTCCATTGTTCTTAGGGACAATTTTTAGGTATCTTTTTTGCCACTTTACCTCTGGCCAATTGTTTTGTAAGCTAATTTTCTTCTGCTCATCAAATTCCGTTTTTACTTAGTACCAGCGAGGAGACTCAGGAATATCCAATAATAGGCTAATAAAATAATTGAATTATTTATTCACATAATAAAGTAATTTGTTGCTGGTTAACACTAAATGAACCAGATAAAATAAGTTTAATTATTACATATTTTTGGAAACTTTGTTTTTGTACAATTTTATCAATTAAGTGACTTTTTAATGAAAAATTTAAAGCAATTTCAAATAACCAAGAATTTTAATTTTACTAACATACCTAAATAGAAGTACAAAGGGAACAGATCGTGGCAGGAAAGTGTGAACGCAATTCCGAAGTAGATACCCTAGTAAAGCTAGAAAGAACATTCCCAAGGCGAGAGAAATACAAATTACCATACCAGCAAATCGTTCTGTATCTAAGGTCCTCCATCAATTCCAGCGCTGAGAAATAAAAAATAATCGTCTACTAACGCATTATTACGGGCGCATGTTATTCTACAATTTACGTCTTTTTTGTGCATTCTCATTTATTAATATATATTTTCCCAATAATAAATGGTATTTGATATATTGGCTGGGCAAGAACAGACCATTTAAGTTCTGAACACCAGTGTAAGACGACATAATTTGGCGAAAAAAGCTGTCCATAAATCGACCAATGGAAACTTCGATAAAGATCATTAAGAAAGAAGGAGATGCGCCTCACCCCACCTGGCAAAGTGAAAAGAAGTTTCGTCAGATTCCAGTCCAAAAAATTGGAAATTTATCTTTCCACACAATACAAAAAATGTAAGATCTACCAACTTATCGGGCTATCCCATCGAAATTAGAACATTTCCAACAGAGAACACGTTAAAAAAGTGTTGTTATGTTGACGGCCACCACCCATTCATCACAGACTAGGTTGAAACTTGCAAAAGAAAAAGGGAGCCATAAGCCACCAAATTAAATATTTTAATATTTATATTTTTTTGATGCATAGTCGTTACATTCTCAGGGTTCTAAGAGGCAAATAATTCCTTTAAGTTACAGACGATACGCGACATTTTCGTTTTTGCAAAAACATCCACCATAAATATATTACGGCGGAGAAATGTGGGCCTAGGAGGAGGATTTCATTCACTGAAAAGAGGGTGCGAGATTTGCTTTTTACACGGAAGAAATCATACAATTATCTAAGCTTGTCGCCGGCCAATTTTGTTTTGAATGAACTGTGAACTTAACCTTCTTGGCCACGCCCTTTTTTGTCCCCTCTCACACGCACCAACCTTTATCTCTTCCACCCTCCGCCTCATCCTCCCACTCTTTCCAGTCTGATTCTCATCATAATCTTCCCTCCTTTCAGTTTTCGGTTGCCATTTTGTCTTAAAAACAATCCTTATTTGTGATTCTGTATTTTTGGAAAAAATGTACGACTTTTGTAATTAATGTGTGATATTTATGCGTCATGTATATATTGCATGTATATGTGCGACACGTATAGTGTGGTTTGAAGTGTATATGTGGATGCATGTATATACATGAAACTTCAGTAAATGGGTGTATACATGAATGTTGGTACGTGGGCACCTGATTAATCAAAATGGATGCAAAATCTTTTTTTATACGAGTAGACGTAATCAGAATCACTGTATCTATGCTAAGAGTACGTAATGCAAGTCGATATCTTTGCGAAAGTCATGTATCTATTGCGTAATAGAATGTACTTTGGGTAAGGCGACACTTTGATAAAATACGATGGATTACGCGTAAAGATAGAACTGATCCTTTGCTAAGTAACGACTTATCTATGCGTAAGTACCTAATCTAGCGTAAGATACAACGACATTGGTCATAACGAACTGTATCTATTGCGTAAAGAGGTACGAACTGTATCTATTGCGTGAAGAGTACGAATGCATCTATTGCGTAAAGAGTACGAACTGCATCTATTGCGTAAAGAGTACGAACTGTATCCTATTGCGTAATGATTACGAAACTGTATCTATGCGTAAAGATACGAACTGATCTATTGCGTAAGAGTACGAACTGCATCTATTGCGTAAAGAGTACGAACTGCATCTATTGCGTAAAGAGTAGAACTGCATCTATTGCGTAAAGAGTACGAACTGCATCTATTGCGTAAAGAGTACGAACTGCTATCTTATTGCGTAAAGAGTAGCGAACTGCATCTATTGCGTAAAGAGTACGAACTGCATCTATTGCGTAAAGAGTACGAACTGCATCTATTGCGTAAAGAGTACGAACTGCATCTATTGGTAAAGAGTACGAACTGCATCTTTTGCGTAAAGAGTACGAACTGTATCTATTGCGTAAAGATACGAACTGTATCTATTGCGTAAAAGAGTACGAACTGTATCTATTGCGTAAAGAGTACGAACTGCAATCGAACTGCATCTATTGCGTAAAGAGTACGAACTGTATCTATTGCGTACAGAAGTACGAACTGTATCTATTGCGTAAAGAGTACGAACTGTATCTATTGCGTAAAGAGTACGAACTGTATCTACTGCGTAAAGAGTACGAACTGTATCTATTGCGTAAAGAGTACGAACTGCATCTATTGCGTAAAGCAGTACGAACTGCAACATCTATTTGCCGTAAAGAGTACGAACTGCATCTATTGCGTAAGAGTACAAACTGCATCTATTGCGTTAAGAGTACGAACTGTATCTATTGCGTAAAGAGTACGAAACTGTATCTGTATTGCGTAAAGAGTAGAACTGTATCTATTGCGTAATGAGTACGAACTGTATCTATTGCGTAATGAGTACGAACTGTATCTATTGCGTAATGAGTACGACTGTATCTATTGCGTAAATGAGTAGAACTGTATCTATTGCGTAATGAGTACGAACTGTTCTATGCGTAATGAGTACGAACTATATCTATTGCCGTAATGAGTACGAACTGTATTATTGCTTAATGTGTACGAACTGTATCTATTGCGTAATGAGTAAGAACTGTATCTAGCGCGTAATGAGTAAGAACTGTATCTAGCGCTGTAATGAGTAAGAACTGTATCTAGCGCGTAAAGAGTAAGAAACTATATCTACTGCGTAAAGAGTAAGAACACGCATGCACGCGTGCGTGTGTGCGTGCGTAGATGCGAGCATGTATTTATGTATGTATATGTAAGTTTTTGAAATTATAATTGTTAATTATGGGTTTGAGTGAGTCTCTAAAGGCAGCTCTTGGTTTGAATCATGTTTTTAAATGGGTAGTTGAAGTACTTGTAGTTTCTTTTAGTGTGTTGTAATTAATATTGATTTTGTATATTAATGTTGATGGATTGTAAATCTGTAGTCTTATGTTTCCCACCTGAGAATCAATTGTAGCTGCATCAAATATATATAAATATATTTTCCAAAAGCTTGGGCACTTCAATAGGCGAGTCACATCCTGGGCGTGTTCCCTTGGCACGGAAAGTTTTAAAATTTTAATTAACTTATTTTTAATGGGCTGGCGCACATTTTACGTTTTGTGAAACCAATGACATCGTAGTCCCTGTGTGTCGTAATTTCACCTGCCAGGCGCAGGGCACCGAGCAGCGCGAAGAGTGGCAGGCGGAGGGGCATTATAAACGCAGAGATATGTGGAGCCAGAGGAGGATTTCATTCACTGAAGAACGGGTGTGAAGATTTTTATTGAGCATACTGAACTGCAATTAATCTAAGCTCGACACGCCTACAATTTTATTTTGCATGAACTGTAAACTTGACCCTATTTATCCTCTCCCACTCTCCACCCCCTCTTTATCCCTTCTCGCACACCACCACATCTTTACCTCTCCCCGCGGCTCATCTCCTGTTCTTCTCGATCTTATCTCATCACTCTCCTCCTCCTTTTCAGTTTCGTCTCATTTCAACAGCACTCGGCATAGGGTGTTGCAACAGCCTGAGTGCCAACCCCTCGGCAACGGACAGTTAAAAAAAATATTTATTTTTATTCGTTGCAAACATTTTACCTTGGTGACGAGCGTGGCGTCGTAGTCCCTGTTGTCGTAATTTCACCTGCAGGCGCAGGCACCGCAGCACGCGAAGAGTGGCAGGGGAGGGCATTATAAACGCAGAGATTTGTGAGCCAGAGGAGGATTTCATTCACTGAAGAACGGTGTGAAGATTTTTATTGAGCATACTGAACTGAAATTAATCTAAGCTCGACACGCTACAATTTTGTTTTGCATGAACTGTAAAACTTGACCCTATTTACCCTCTCCACTCTCCACCCCCTCTTTATCCCTTCTCAACCCACCACATCTTTATCTCTCCCCGCGGCCTCATCTCCTGTATCTTTTTCGATCTTATTCTCATCACTCTCTCCCTCCTTTTCAGTTTCGTCTCCATTTCAACAGCACTCGCATAGGGTGTATCACAGCCTGAGTGTCAACCCCTCGGCACGGACAGTTAAAAAAAAAATATTTCTTTTAATTCGTTGCCACATTTTACACTTGGTGACGAGCGTGACGTCGTAGTCCCTGTTGTCGTAATTTCACCTGCAGGGCAGGGCACCGCAGCACGCGAAGATGGCAGGTGGGAGGGCATTATAAACGCAGAGATTTGTGAGCCAGAGAGGGATTTCATTCACTGAAGACGGGTGTGAAGATTTTTATTGAGCATACTGAACTGCAATTAATCTAAGCTCGACACGCCTACAATTTTGTTTTGCATGAACTGTAAACTTGACCCTATTTATCCCTCCCCTCTCCACCCCCTCTTTATCCCTTCTCACACCCACCACATCTTTATCTCTCCCCGCGGCCTCACTCCTGTATCTTTTCTCGATCTTATTCTCATCACTCTCTCCCTCCTTTTCAGTTTCGTCTCCATTTCAACAGCACTTGCATAGGGTGTTTCACAGCCTAGTGCAACCCCTCGGCACGGACAGTTAAAAAAATATTTATTTTAAG